TCCCATCTCTCTCCCTTCTCCCTCTCCCCTGTCTCTCTACCATCTCCCCCTATGATCTCTCTCCTGTCTCTGTCTCTCCCTCCCTCCTGTCTCTCCCATCTCTCTGTCTCTCTCACTTCTCCCTCTCCCCTGTCTCTCTCATCTCTCCTGTCTCTGTCTCTCTCTCCCTCTCTCTCTCTTCCATCTTTCTCCCTCTCCCCCATCTCTCCCGCATCTCTCTGTCTCTCCCTCTCTCTCCCATGTCCCTCTCTCCCATCTCTTGCTCTCTCTCGTCTCTCTCTGCAATCCCTCCTGTCTCTGTCTCTCTACCGTATCTCTCCACCATCTGTGTGTCTCTCTCTCCTGTCTCCCTCCCGTCTCTCCCATCTCTCTGTCTCCCTCCTGTCTCTGTCTCTCCCTCTCCCTCTCTACTGTCTCTCTCTCTCCTGTCTCTCTACCATCTCTCTCTCCCATCTCTGTCTCTCCCCATCTCCCTCTCTCTCTCCCATCTCTCTCCCTTCTCCCTCTCCCCTGTCTCTCTACCATCTCCCCCTATGATCTCTCTCCTGTCTCTGTCTCTCCCTCCCTCCTGTCTCTCTACCGTCTCTCTCCACCATCTGTGTGTCTCTCTCCCTCCCTGTCTCTGTCTCTCCCTCCCGTCTCTCCCATCTCTCCTGTCTCTGTCTCTCCTGTCTCTCTACTGTCTCTCTGTATCTCTCCCGTCTCTCTCTCTCTGTCTCTCTCTCCTGTCTCACTCCCCCTGTCTCTGTGTCTCTCTACCCTCTCTCTCTCTCCCTGTCTCCCTCTCTGTCGCTCCCTCCCTACCATCTCTCCCCCTCTTTCTCCTGTCTCTCTCCCGTCTCTCTCTACCATCTGTGTCTCTCTCCCTTCTCCCTCTCCCCTCTCTCTACCATCTCTCCCTACAATTTCTCTCTCCTGTCTGTCTCTCTATCATCTCTCTCTACCATCTGTGTGTCTCTCTCTCCTGTCTCCCTCTCTCTCTACCCCTCTCCCGTGTCTCCCTCCTGTCTCCCATTTCTCTGTCTCTCTATCACTCTCCCGTCTCTCTCCTGTCTCCCTCTCTTCCCCTTTCTCTCCCCCTCTCCCATGTCTCTCCTATCTCTCTCTCCCCTGTCTCTCTCTGCCGTCTCTCCTGTCTCCCTTTCTCTCTCCCGTCTCATCTGTCTCTCTCTCTCCCCTCTCTCTCTTCCATCTTTCTCTCTCTCCGGCATCTCTCTGTCTCTGTGTCTCTCTCCTGTCTCTGTCGCTCCCTCCCTACGATCTCTCTCTCCCTCCTGTCTCTCTACCATCTCTCTCCACCATCTGTGTCTCTCTCTCCTGTGTCCCTCTCTCTACCCCTCTCCCGTGTCTCCCATCTCTCTGTCTCTTTCTCTCGCCCTCTCCCGTCTCTCTACCATCTCTCTCTCCTCTCATCTGTCTCTCTCTCTTCCTGTCTCTGTCTCTACCGTCTCTCCCCCTGTCTGTGTCTCTCTACCACCTCTTTCTGTCTCTGTCTCCCTCTCTCCCGCCTCTCCTGTCTCCCGTCTCTCTATCACTCTACCGTCCCTCTCTCTCCACCATCTCTCTCCCCTGTCTCTGTCACGCTCTCTCTATCTCTCTACCATCTCTCTCTCCTGTCTCCCTCTGTCTCTGTCTCTCTACCATCTCTCTCTCCAGTCTCTCCTGTCTCTTCCCTCCCTCCCTCCCTCCTCTCTCCCGTCTCTCTATCATCTCTCTCTACCATCTCTCTCCCTTCTCTGTCCCTCTCTCTCCTGTAGATCTCTGCAGGCCTCTGAATCTCTCACTGTGGGCTTCATTTTGCACCGCTTGGTCTCTCTCTCTCTCTGGGTTACTCATCTGTTGCCCCACTCATCTTGTGTATGTCCATCTACCTCACTGTGTGCCGTGCACCCTCTTGTCCATCTCCAACTCCCCCATTCTTGCTCATCTGTTTCTCATTCTGTTTACATTTGAGGCTCCCGTGTCCTGGCTCAATGTGTGTGTGGGGCTACCTCTCACTCCTGACCTCAGACTGTCTCCGATCTATCGGCTGTGTCTCTCTCATAGTAATTGACATCTGAGTGAGGACAGAGGCTAGTACTGTATGTTCTCTCCTTGCAAAGCTATGGGGTGTGTGGAACATTGGGTCTTACCTTAAGTTGTCCATGACGTTGCCCACAGATGACCTCTATGTCACCTGTGCATCCCTGATTAACACAGCAACTCCTTCAGGTACCCTGAAAGTTAAAGGCCCTTCCTTGAGAGAAGGGCTGCCTGTCATGTGAATGGAGGTTGATTCTTGGCTCTTGTCAGCAGGAGACACATGGCTAAAGACTACTATCCTTGAAGAGGGAAGGTGGCCGGCAGCCTACGAATGTTCACTGTCTCAGAATTGGAGGCAACAAGTGGGATGCCTGTGGATACCTGCATGTTGGCCCACACCTTGCACCAGACTCTCGGCCTACGGAACCACGAGAGGATAAATGTATCATTTGAACCTCACATTTGTCACAGCAATGCCAGATAAAGATTAAAGTGTAGAAAACACCCTGCTATGTACATGGTGTACATGGACTATCTCTTCACATACACCAGACTGACTGGCATCACTTTCTAGGAATCCCGTGGTGATTTGCCCCGAGAGATGTGGACAGGCAACTTGTCTGGATTTTTCTTTCAGAGTTTGAACCCTCTACATTTGTCTATTGTCACCATCTAAGAACAAATCTTTATAATTAATACAATGAATTTATTTTTCATCCTGTATTTTAAAGGGCATGGACCATCTTAAATGAGTGTGCAACAAGCCACTATTTTCTTGAATACATTAGTGGATCTCTGGCTAATTAGACAATAGGTGTTTTGCTGAGGTTTGGGTTATGAGTAAATAAAGGCTTCATTACGTTTTCGTTTTCTTGTGACTTGTTTTTCCTAAAGGAACCAAATGAATTTCTATACATTTCAAGTAAGATTCAGGGTTTTAACTACAACCGACCCAGTGAATTAACACCAATATACTCACCCTTTGCAGAAACTAGAACTTTAGAGCATAATATAATGCCGTCTTTGAGGTGAAGAAATTCCCTCAGGACACATATCTTTAAGCACATAAATATTAGATATTGCATCAGGGGAATCATACAGGATTACGGAAAAACAACCCAGAGCACCGCCTTGGCAAAACAATTGTGGTTTAGAATACTTCCGGTAACCGAAACTTCCTTCAGCATCCTATTGTGAGACTATTGCAGTAAGTCCACAATGCTCTCAGCCATGAGGGACAGTGTAGATTTGTGCTGGACAAACATGCAACCCGGTCTTACTTAGCAGGCTGTAACATTTACCCTATAGATTCTGCTTTGAGAACCAACAGATCGCCTCTCCCATGTTTAGTCATCTTACAGTTTTTTGAAAAGTAAATTTCTAGGGTCCAAGGGGTAAACCTCAGCACTATGAAGCTATTGTCAGCCAACTGCAGCACAAATTTGATGCCCAGCCAGGGAGCTGACCTACATGGCCCAGCAGACCTCTGGTGTCTCTCCTGCTGTTCCCCTCAGCAGTGTATTTCGGTAGATCCATGTCTTCTGCTCTCCACCATCTCTGGTGAAGCCTTTTGTCCCCTATCTCTGGCCTGCACCCCAGTTTTTGTATGCACAAATAAATCTTTAAAAATAGTACATTTGTAAAAAGCGTTTTTTGAAATGACAAAAATCAAGACTATGATGGCATTAGATGACTAAGCTGAAAGTTATCCAGAGAGCCCTATGATTGAACACAAAACCACAACCTCTTAGACATCAAAGAGCAAGGCAGAATGTCCTACAAGGAACACAAGGTTTTCAAGTCCCACACCTGGTGGGTGGAGACCAGATAGGAGGCTACAGGCAGGGTGGGAGCCATCCTCACCTTTT